AAAAAAATGTGCAAAATGATGTAAAAATAAACTTTGTAATAGATAAAATAAAATAAAATAAAAATAAAATAAAGAAAAAGCCACAGAAGAAAGAGGAAAGACCAAGAAGGGAAGGTTAGAATAGGGGTGAAGGGAGGAAAAGCACACAGAGAAACGAGCAGCAGCAGGCACAACCCCTCAAAGACAGAAGCTCGGAGATGGAACACAGTCAGCGATGCAGTGAGCAAGACCCAGGATGGTGTCTGCACTGAACAGACCTGAAAGGTCACACACACACACACACACACACACACACACACGAGTCCTTATGACTGGTGTGCCTGCATAAATGAGAATCATCTAGGTCTTGGCAGCAGCCATTTCATTCTGTAGCCATCACACGACCCTTGGGGCTGGGCACCCAATGCACTGTCACCAACTAGCACCTTAAGGTCTGTGGCTCACGGAACCACATGAGATTAACCAAAACCTCATATGAACACTTATTTCCTTAACTTGAGTCATGTCAGACTGTTTGTCCCAGTGAAGAACTATGTCTTGATATGGCAAACCCTCGCAAAACCAAGGCACAGGGCCAAAGCCTCACTCTCAAGTCCAGAAACCAAAGAGATGATGCCTCAGCCACATGCAGCAAAGTCCTGCATAGACAACACAGAGACCTGAGGACAGAAAATGCACAACAGCAGGGCAAATGCCTGTACCATGCTCGAGTCCGCAGAAATTATTAAGGAAACCACCACCAGCAGACGGGCAAAGCAGACGAGAGATATCCTTAAAAAAACAATCCCACAAGCCGTCAGACACCCAAAAAGAAATGTAGAACCAAGGCGTAGCCATGCCTGAAGCTCACCCTAATGGGTGGCTCTGCCCAGTCGGTGTCAGGTGTGGCAATGCCACAGGGCTCCAGAGGACACTGCCAAGGGGGAGCACTACCACAGAGACACACACAGCCCAACAGCAGAGCCCACACACAGTCACATCACAGAGACACAGGCATGAAGAACACATCACATGTGCACACACCCACCCACCAGGAGAAGGCAGCTCCGGGAGGGCCACGGTTCTTACCGACCCATCCTCCAGTGCCCGGCGCAGGGCCTGCAGGTCAGCCTCAGGGCACCAGACCTCGGCGATCAGACACTTGTTGGTCACGTCGAAGCTGCACATGTTCAGCATGTGATAAATGGCCTTCATCTTCTTCACCTGCACCACGCGGCTGTAGACAGACTCAGCAGCTTTGCACAGCACCTGTCGCAGGTAGTCCTCAGTCTTGTGCAGCACCTGGTGGGCAGACACGGTGCTCAGCTCACGGGACTCCTCACCATCCGCAAGGGCCGGCTCTGGCAGCGGACCCTACAGGTGCTCCCTCCCCCTAGGGACAGTTATGGGGAGCTCCTCTCCTCCCTGCCCCCCCACCTCCAGTGCCAGCAAGAGGCAAACAGGAGGGCAGAGGACCTGGGCTTGGCCAGTCAAAGCTCTCTGGAAAGAAAGAATATGACCCCCACACAGAAATGGGGGGATGTCAAGGCACCATGGCAGCAAGATGACTCAGCCAAGCCCCAAGAGTGCCCTTTTCTCATGTTCCCTGTTAAGCTGTGAGTCAGAAACTCCCACCCCCGCCCAGCCCACCAAGAGACCCCCTCCTCTTCATTAATCCAGGGTCCACTTGTCACCCCCAAGTGCACTTACTGAAGTAAGTGAGAGAAAGAACTGAAAAAGTGCAGGCAAAACAGCCGCCCCCTAGGTGGGCCGGCACACCATCTGGGGTCCGGGTCTAGGCACCGCTGTCCAGGTGAAGAAGCGGGCGCTGAGGGGCACTGCAGTCCCCCAAAGCATCTCTGTCCCGCATTAGAAAGGAAGCATCAGCAGGTCTGTCAACAATTCTGGAAGCTCTGTTAAGGTGGCAACAGTCCCCTTCACTCACGGTGTAGAGGTCCTGGATGCGGGTATTGAGCCCCTCCTGGATCTCCTTGCGCTCCTCGGCGGTGCTCGGGTAGGGGTACACATGGCAGTGGTAACTGGAAGGCAGAATGCAGCTGTGTGCCATGTGCCAAGGCCAGAGGCGCTGAGCCCGCCCTGGGCCATCTCCTTCCAAAATGAAGCAAGCCCCAGAGGAGCCAGGCCCAGCTCCTGCCCAAGACATGGCCTTGCTCCTGGGTATTCTCCAAACGTCCAAGGAAATAAGCAGACTTAGCAAATGCCCTAGATTCCAAATCCCATTCCCAGACACCAACTCCAGCTTTCTCAAATACATCACCATTCTGGGACCAGAAATCGTTAAACAAGGTTAAAATAGAAACAAAGAAATCACAACAATGACCGGGGAGTGACCACGTTTGACATAAACTACAAGTCCTTCCCCTCCCCCTGCCACTACCCCTCACCAGAGGGCACCCAACTGGAGCACAGAGGTGTGCCCCCCAGCAGGCAGCTACTCCCCCTCAGAACTTCAGTACCAAGTTTCACAATTTCTTTTAAGTTCTGACTGTTAAAACTGAAAGTAAATGCTAAGCAGTGATGCTCGTGGCTCAGAAGCACGGTGCTGGTGGCTCGGGGGCACAGTGGCTGCTAGGCTGCGTTAAATGAAGCACCGCCACAAACAGCTGTGTCCAGGCAACACCTGAACCCACTCTCCCTGCCGCAGTCCAGGCTTGAAAGTGGTGAGGCCACGGCAAAGTGGGACCCAGGATCCACCCTCACCCCTGCAAGAAAAGATTCCAAAGGTAGAAAACACAGGGGTGTTCTGAAGTCTTGCTCGGCTTTTGTCTGCTTCTCCAAGTCCCTGCCAGTCCGCTGTCCAACACGTGCTGCCAACCCATTATACGGAGCCTCCCCCAGGCCTCCCACAGCCCTCGGGAGGGGAGCTGCTATCTACACCCTGACAAAAGCCTTTGCACCCATGGTCTTTCTCCCAAATACAGAAGAATGTTTAAGGAACATCGGGGCGACTCCGCAGAGAGGAGTGAGGGAAAGGAAGCACTTCATTCTCTTACCAGTCGCATATCTTCTTGACCTTGTGGCCAATCTGCTCTCCCCAAAAGGATATTAGGAACACATACCACTTTATGACCTCCCCCTGCAGAAAAGAAATATGCAATTGTCAGTGATGTGTCTTTAACTCAGAAAACCTGGGCCACAGAGTTATTTCACTCAGTCCTTCAACAAACACAGCAGAGCCTCATTATTTGCTGGTTCTGTAGCTGTGAGTCCAGCTACCGGCTAATCCCAAAACCAACAATAGCCAGCAGTGGTTTGCAGGAGATAGCAGACATGTCCTTGCACAGCCTCTGGCCACCAACCTTGACCCTGCTGAGCCCAGGCAAGGGGCCGGCCTTCTGGCCTCCACTTGCATGCTGCAAGCAAGTGTCCTTTTGGTGGTCTGTTTAATGCACATTTTTCACATTTTGTGCCTTTCACTGATTTTATTATTTGGAATGGCCCTGTAACAGGGGAGGGCTTCTCTCTGGTTGTACTATAGCACTATGAAGCTGTCCACAGCCACTGCAGCACAAGTTCTGTCCCCAGCCAGGGAGCTGACCCACATGGCATAGCAGACTTATGTCTCCCTGCTGCTCCCCTCAGCAGTGTATTTCAGTGGCTCCTCCAGTTCTGTTCCCCTCACCCCCACCCCCACCCCACATACACACACCTCTGGCCTGCACCCCAGCTCTTATATGCATAAATAAATCTTTTTTAAAAATGGCCTCAGGCAGCAGCTGCGGCTGGCTGCTCAGCAGCCTTTGTCCCAGCCCTGCTACAACCCTGGAGATAAACTGAGACAAATCAGCTAGGGAGGGGAAACCAAATCATTGGAAAAGGCTGCAGCTCAGAACCAGAGACCTGAGGATACGCCGCAGACCTGTTGCTGACCTTTGCCCCAGCAGCCC